GATCTCTTCATTGTCCAAAAAAGTAGTGATGTTGGCATTGAGGAGTGCCTCATGGAGGTGATCAGTGAAACGAAGACGGGTGTCGATACCCCGAAAACTCAAAAAGACGTCATAATTATGAGGACCATGAGTTGTGGAAGAAGATGAAGATTCTTGTAATAATTGAGAGAGAACAACCATTATGAAGGAAGGTATGGAGGATTTGAGAGTTAATGGATCCAACAAGCAGTGTATTTTTTCTCCTTTAATAATGGAACCCAAGTCAACGTCAACAAATGGTTTTGATAAGGAAATTGTTTGGAAATTTGGAATAAATGAAAAACATTGGGTTTTTATTAAATATAAACATTTAATTGACTTTGTAAATAAGTGAAAATCAAAAATCAATCATATTTATTTTCAAGATTAATTGGATATAATTTTTCGTTTTCTAATGAATTGTATACAAAATTGAATTTTATATTCCCTTTTTGAGAAGATGAAAAATATAGAGATAGAAAGACGTCTTTTTTGGYCTAAGTTACCATGTAAATATCCAATTTATGCAGTAATATTAAGATTTGCTGTAAAAGTTTCTTRGGGAAACCTATAGGAGTAGGCTTAATGATTGATTATAGAGATAATAGTGGATCCAACTAATAATTAATTTATTCAATAATGGAAGCCCAAGTCAAGTCAACAATATCAAAAACAAACATGAATGAATTTAAAAAGAAAAAGAATTCATGATGACATTTTGTCTTTGTAAATGTGAGAAAGATATCATCATCTCCTAACAATTTAATGGATCCAATTCTGCTATATCTGTGAATGTTGCTTTAAAATTAAAGACAACATTAATAAATAATATCATAATATGACAGTTTTGTCACATACTATAATTGGTAAGAATACAATAAATTGTACGTTAATGTAAGCTCGTTATTGATAATTCATAACTTAAGTCTTATAAAAAWGCTCACAAATTTCACTCTATCAATGTAGGACATATGTAAGATTCACCTCAAATGTTAAAAAACAAATGACCATTCCCTGGAAGTCCGTCATTACTCATCACAACATTATCGGGTTTATAGGACGCCTAAAGTTTAATTGTCCTAATAGASTGCTCTACAGGACTTAAGTTTACATGATTAAAGAATAAAATGTCATATCTAAAAGTGTTACAATAAGTTTATAGGACGCTTTTGAGCATCGTAACATGTTTTTAGAACATTTTTTAAAGTAAAAAGTTGTATTAGCTATTTTATAGGATATTTTTGACAAATGTCTTGTAAACCCATCTTTTTATAGGACACTCATGTTTATAGAACACTTTCTCAAACAGTCCTATAAAATAGCTAATACGACACTATATTTTAAAAAATGTCCAAGAAAACTTATTACGATGCCTAAAAACGTAATATATAAACTTATTGTAACACTTTTAGATAGGATGCTTTTTTGGGTCCTATAGACTTAGGTCCTATAAGCCACTCCATTAGGATATTTCAACACTTTAGGGGTCCTATGTATAAACTCAATTTTGTCGTAGTGACTAAAGGGACGTTCGGAATAGAGATGGGAGTGAAAATAAATATGATTGAGGATGGATTTGAATGTACTCATTGCATTATTTAACATTGTTTTGCATCATTGATGCTTGGAGATAAATAAATACATAAAACATCCAAAAATGGCAGTATCTCTATCTCCCCCCCCCCTCTTTTTCTAGACAGATTGCACATATCATCAAAAATTGAACAGACTTTGATCATAAACAGATTTAGATTATCAAACAGATTGAAGAACAGTGAACAGATTGGAGATGTAAAAAACCAAACAAAGATGAAGAAAATCGAACAAAGATGAATAAAATCAAACAGATTGGGGATGCAGAAAATCAAACGAACATTGATAAGATTTCGATTAAAAGTAGTTGATTATTCTATTAAACTAAACTTTAAACAAAAGATTTTGATCACCTTTTCCATTTTCAAAAAGAAAAAGAAAAAGAGACAACAATTTGAACTTGTTTTGAAAAATAATTCTATACTATATTAAATGATCTTGAGACCAAAAAGTTTGATGAAAACATGATATCGCATAGTGTACGAGAAAATATATCTATACTATATTATAAAACGTTTGACAAAAACTATTAAAAACTATTTTTTATGCATGAAGTACTATTTTTTGATGCATATTATTTAAAATTCAAGATTACAAGTAAATTGTGTGTAAGTACAACGTATTAAAACTCCATAATTGAATTCGTGTAACTAATTGCAGATAAACATTTATTTTTTAAATATAAAATATAATTAAAATAATGATTGAGTTTTAACATAATACTTAATTATTATCTTTATAAATAATTATATTGTTAAATCTAAAATAAACTACTTCCTTATTAAATTATAATAAAAATTATACAAAAAGAGAACTTTGTAAACTGCTATTTAATATTAATATCAATGTAAATTTCTATGTGGCCCTCAAATTTATATTTTTGTTCAAATATAAAAACATTATAGTTTTTTGAAATATATATATATAAAATTGAAGGTGTTTGGAAATGGAATGGAAAGTATCATACCTGATATAGATATAGCTTAGGTAGTTGGTTCACTTGGTTGGGCGGAAAGCTCTAAACAGAGGATGCGGATCTGAGGAATAAAAACAGATGATAAGAAGTAATTAATAGGCTGTTGCATGGGTTATTATTAAGATATTTACATCCACTTGGTAATTAATATAGCTTAATTTATTTATGATTGTGGAAAATCCAAGTGTTGGATTGTAGGCGTAGATCTCCACCACCTACTACCTACTACATATATTATATATCATATCATGACAAACATTATTTAATAAATACACCACATACCTACATATCTATTATCAGACCATGTAGATTCTTCATCAACAAAGCGATATCGTTGTAGGTAATAATGTCCGGGAGTAGTAGTTAGAAAAGGAGAAAGATCCCCACCAATTATATGATTCCATGACTTGTAATAACCCAACACATCTTCTTCATCTTCATCTTCATCTTCATCTTCATCATACACAAAACCCACCCCACACTCCCTTGTACTACAACCATCATTATCAAATGTGGAAATAGTAATTTGGTCACCATCTTCCATCTCATTCTTCCCAAACATCCAATGGCTAGAATATGTTATACCCTCTCTACTTCCTTTAAACCACCCCGGAGGATGATACATCCAGCTGCACATCTTTGTTATATTACTAATCCTTATATATAAAATACAAGCTAAGAACTCTCCATCATTTGTTGTCAACTCTACAGGTGTAAAAGCGAAGAAGAAATTCAAGCCTCTAAGGTTGCGAGGAGATGATGGGATGGTAAATGATACTACTGATGACCCCTCCCACCTTCTATCACTAATGCAATTTGGCATCTCTTTCCCCACATACCATGTGCTGAATATCCCAAATTCATAAACCATCTGCCAAATAAAAACTTCATTTATTATATCTACATATTAATCACACAAACAAATATAGTTAATGAGAACAAACCTTGACCCTTCTTTTTACACCTTCTTCATCTGTCAGCTGGATTTTGGTGAAGTCTAAATTAACTAAATGACTCCACCCCAAACTACGTAATACCTTTTCCTCAACATCTCTCATATCTTCCACTTTAGCAATGCCTTCAATATTATTCCCGTCATATCCACCCACCACCATATGCTTTAGCAGGACTGGGGACATTTCTCGATTAAATGTAGCTTCCCCATATCTATCAAAATCAAATCTCAGTTCTTTTAGTGTAGGTGGAGGATGATCCAATGACTCCAGACCACAATTCTCACGAATACTAAGTATTTCAATCCTGGAAAGGCTTTTCACCCAATTGGGCAGTGAAACGAAAAGATTGCCATCTAAATACAACTCCTTCAACATGGATAGGCTACTCATGTCCATCGGAAAGGATTCGTTAGACAAATTATTATATGCTAGTAACAAACACATTAATGAACTTGGTAGATAAATCAGATAGGACTCGAAAGCTCTTGGTATAGCCTCCACAATGGCAGAGGAAGAGGTTTGTGAGTTCATAACAATGTTGTTACGGTTGAGCGTTTCCTCCACATCATCCCTCATCTCGATCAGAGTTTCACCAAGATTACAACCATCTAAATTTAGTATTTTGACGTTCTTCACCTTGTTTATCATTCTTAAAAGCTTCCCAACGTTATTGCAGTAACTCAGATCAATGAGGTCAAGTCCATCATATTGCTCAATTGACTCACAAACCTCAATCAAACTT